TCCGAAACTACAAAAGATAAAGACATGCGGTCCAAAAATACTGCCCCTTTGAGTCGATTTTTTAATTTCAAGCCGATCGGAGCATAGGATCATACTGAGATTTTGAAAAGATCGACTTTGAAAAGTACCAAAAACCCTAACCTGACCCCCCATCCCTCCCAAACTGTGATTTGTGAGAAGTTCGTGATAAAACTTAATACGAAAATCCAATCAGTTACCCCCTAGACTTACCCGTTCCAAGATAAAGTAAGGCCTTCAAAATAACGAATTTAACGAATTTGGGGTTTAGGGTTAAGGTTTTTGTTTGGGTTAGGGTTAGGGTTAGGGTTAGTGTTTGGGTTAGGTCTATAGACAAATTTGGGATATAGCCATAGATGGAATGATATATTTTGGTTGTGATATGGCTGGTGAATATATAGGGGTTAGGGTTAGGCAGAACTTCTTTTTTCCCCAAAAAATTGCTAAGTACAGTGTGCCTTTGACTTCAATGTTCAAACAGGTGTAGAATGGATTCGAATAGAGATAGTTTCTTACAATTAACTGTTCCGAAAAGCTAAAAAGGCGATCTTAAGGACGGGACCTTATTAAAATCAATGAAGTATACAACCGCACTTTCCGACCTCACTGAAGAAGCGTTTGTGTGAGAGTGAAGCCCAACCCCGACATAAACTCCAACTCTGAAACTACAAAAGATAAAAACTTGCGGTCTGCACCATAGGCTTGCTCGTCAAAATGTACTGCCCCTAACGGAGTCTATTTTTTTAATTTCAAGCCGATCGGAGCATAGAATCATACTGAGATTTTGAAAAGATCGACTTTGAAAAGTACCAAAAACCCTAACCTGAACCCCCACCCCTCCCAAACTGTGATTTGTGAGAGGTTCGTGAAAAAACTTAATACGAAAATCCAATCGGTTAACCCCTAGACTTACCCGTTTTAAGATAAAGTAAGGCCTTCAAAATAACGATTTTAGCGAATTTGGGGTTTGGGTTATGGTTACGGTTTTTGTTTGAGTTAGGGTTAGGGTTAGGGTTAGTGTTTGGGTAAGGTCTATAGACAAATTTGGGGTATAGAAATAGACGGAATAATATATTATGGTTGTGATATGGCTGGTGTATATATAGAGGTAAGGGCTAGGCAGAACTTCTTTTTTCCCCAAAAAATTGCTAAGTACAGCGTGCCTTTGACTCCAATGTTTAAACAGATGTAGAATGGATTCGAATAGAGATAGTTTCTTACAGTTAACTGTTCCGAAAAGCTAAAAAGGCGATCTAGAGGACGGGACCTTATTAAAATCACTGAAGTTTACAGCCGTACTTTCCGACCTCACTGAAGAAGCGTTTGTGTGAGAGTGAAGCCTAACCCGGACATTAACTCCAATTCCGAAACTACAAAAGATAAAGACATGCGGTCCAAAAATACTGCCCCTTTGAGTCGATTTTTTAATTTCAAGCCGATCGGAGCATAGGATCATACTGAGATTTTGAAAAGATCGACTTTGAAAAGTACCAAAAACCCTAACCTGACCCCCCATCCCTCCCAAACTGTGATTTGTGAGAATGTCGTGATAAAACTTAATACGAAAATCCAATCAGTTACCCCCTAGACTTACCCGTTCAGAGATAAAGTAAGGCCTTCAAAATAACGATTTTAACGAATTTGGGGTTTAAGGTTAAGGTTTTTGTTTGGGTTAGGGTTAGGGTTAGGGTTAGTGTTTGGGTTAGGTCTATAGAGAATTTTGAGATATAGCCATAGATGGAATGATATATTTTGGTTGTGATATGGCTGGTGTATATATAGGGGTTAGGGTTAGGCAGAACTTTTTTTTCCCCCAAAAAATTGCTAAGTACAGTGTGCCTTTGACTTCAATGTTCAAACAGGTGTAGAATGAATTCGAATAGAGATAGTTTCTTACAGTTAACTGTTCCGAAAAGCTAAAAAGGCGATCTAGAGGACGGGACCTTATTAAAATCACTGAAGTGTACAGCCGCACTTTCAGACCTCACTGAAGAAGCGTTTGTATGATATTGAAGCCTATCCCTGACAATAACCCCAACTCCGAAACTGCAAAAGATAAAGACATGCGGTCTTCACCATAGGCTTGCTAGTCCAAAAATACTGCTCCTTTGGTGTCGATTTTTTAATTTCAAGTGTATGTATTTATGTATGTATGTATGTATGTATGTATGTATGTATGTATGTATGTATGTATGTATGTATGTATGTATGTATGTAGGTATGTATGTATGTATTGGAAAATCATGAAATTGCAGCTAATTTCATAAAGCTTGTTTTGAAATTAAATTAAATTTGGGAACTCTAGTTACTGAAACTTTATGATTCCCGCCAAAAAAGCAATTTAGCCTAAAAGACTTTAATGATATATATCTAAAAAGCTTCAGATGACCAGATTCTAACTAGTAATTAAGAATTACAATCGAACAATTGATGACTTTGAAGAAAAAAACTGACTACATGTAACGAACCTTTATTAAATATTATTTTAGTAACAACCTTATGACAGTCAATCAGATGGAAGATCGAAAAAAAATTACACAATTTTTGCAAAAAAAAAAAAGAAAAAAATATAAGTTTATTGCAAGAGCACAATCTCTGAGTTCTTGTTACAATTTGGAGTTTAAATGTGCAATTCAACTGCAATTGTGCATTGAAATAACTAAACAGCTGGTAAACTTTTAAAATATATTTCTTTTGACATATGTTCCGTCTATTTAGTACAATTTTGCAATTAAAAGGTCCGAAGATATTGCGTCATAACTAAATAAGTATTAGTCTATAATGAAAATTGACTTGCATCATCACTATGTTTGTGCTGTTTGAGTATAATATATTGTCTCTAGTTGGAAATTTCCTGGGGATTTTCAGTTCAGGCTTGATATTATATCAGCCGACGAAAAATATCTTATACAATTTTACTAGAAAATTATGGAGGGAAAACATATAGAAAAAGTGAACGTTGCTCTTGAAATCAGACAAAGAGAAATACATGGATCCATTAAATTGTCAAGTGTTGAATGTTTTAGCTTAAACCGGGTTGTGAAAGTGCGTAGCTATGAAACATATAGAAAGAGAAGGAAAGAGGAGTTTAGAACATTGAAGGTCACGAATCGATTTGTGAAAGAGTTGGAAAGAACCGAGACCTACTGTGAAGGACCCCTCCTTGATGAGAAGGATACCTGTTATGTTTGTTGACTATACTGTAAATAAAATGCATTTGTAAATATTTCAAGGTCTGGGAGGAACCCAGACCAACCTTTCAAATATAAACAAAAGCTGTGTCCTATTGATTGCAACTGTACAATCCTTCTTAAATTTCTATCATGTTGAATCTGCTACATAAATACATGCATACATTTTTTCTGGTGTTTATTACTTCTCTTTTATATATTATGATAGATACCTAGAAATGGATCTCTTAAAACTGAGACAAAATCTAGTGATTTTTGAGAAGTTCGTGAAAAAATTTAATACGAAAATCCAATCGGTTACCCCCCTAGACTTATCCGTTCCAAGATAAAGTAAGGCCTGTCAAAATAACGATTTTGACAAATTTGGGGTTTGGGTTAGGGTTAAGGTTTGGGTTTTGGTTAGGGTTTTTTTTTAGGATAGGATTTGGGTTAGATTTATAGACAAATTTGGGGTATAGACATAGATGGAAGGATATAATATGGTTGTGATATGGCTGGTGTATGAATATATAGGGGTTAGAGTTATGGTTAGGCAGAACTTCTTTTTTTCGCAAAAAATTGCTAAGTACAGTGTGCCTTTGACTTCAATGTTCAAACAGGTGTAGAATGGATTCGAATAGAGATAGTTTCTTATATTTAACTGTTCCGAAAAGCTAAAAAGGCGATCTAGAGGACGGGACCTTATTGGTATCACTGAAGTGTACAGCCGCACTTTCCGAAAAGTATTGCACAATCTTCAAATTGACTTGTTTGTGCAGATGCATTGTTTCTTTCAATCTTCAAAATGAGTTGTTTCCGTAGTTTCGGGACGACTAATGCTTTCCGCACGATAACTTTTTTCCGACTAGACTATTACATACTGCTGTATTATGTTACTATATATGTTGAATAGCTTGTTATTGAATTGTCGGTTTGTTTGTTATGAAGATTAGTACTCTTATCATACTTTGTTCATACTGTATTGTTTTTATCAGCCCGACATGTTTTGATTATATTTGTCTTGATATTTTAATCAAAATCCAAGCAAGCCTGTATATATCTACTGTATATATCCCTTGACAAAGAACTTACGGGGTCAAAATATTAAGCCTTTACCATTTTACCTTTTGAGTGTTTACCATATTTGAGTTTTTTAATAATTTGCCTTTTATTGTGTGGTTATACTATGACTATTATTCGTATATTTGTAAATTGTTGTTATGTTTTGAAAAAAAAATAGAAATATTTCGAAGTGCATTCTTATATTATAAATAAAAGTGTGTGTTTTGAAATATAATATAGTAGAATGTGTAATTTATATATTCGTGTCTTTGTTTGTAACGCAATATTCTATGAGGAAGACCTTATCGGGTCGAAATATCAGGCTGTATCTATATGTTTACATTATAGTAAATACCTCCTCCTTCCTTTCTGTGATAGGGCTAACACAAAGGCAAAGGAGGAAGCTGTGCATTGACAGATGGATGGGGGATGATTTTACGTCAGAAAAAGCAAGAGAAAGAGTGTCAAACGTCATACATTGAAGAAGGAAGGTCCGCAGTATAAAAACGATAATAGGGAAACGGATATTGAAAAACCTTCCAGGGTTGTCAAGGTCGTTAAAAAAACCCTTTTTGGATATTAAATTGCAAGTAACTCTTACAGAACAGAAACACATTCAGGTTTTTTTAAGAGAATGTGTGGTTCGTTCGTCAATGTATTGTATCGTGTAGTAATCTACCCTTTGCAGATAAGGTAAAGTATATTTTAATGTGTTCTTGACCCGGTATTAATTGAGAACCAAAAAGCTAGTATATTTACATATAGGTAATTTTTTCAAACATAGATATTGGACTATATTTTGTCATCATCTGTTTTAAGGTAACACACATTGCCCTATTTTCCATTGTACAACACAAACAGTGCGGCATCGCAAAAAAAAGCAAAATAGTATGTACTACAAAATATTTTAACAAAACTGATTTATTTTCACTATGGTCTTGCCGGAGAGTAAAATCTTCGCTCAACATTTTGGACTTATCACACTTCTCCTCTCCTTCTTTTCCTCTGCCCTGAAAAAATAGATATAAATTGTTACAAATGTAGTACACATATAACAAATTGCATAACATTTATCAATAATGTAGTCAATTGAATTTAATGTTGAAAACAGGTAAAGATACAAATGAAGCAAAATAATATTGACACATATATTTCTATATTTTAGTATAAAACATACTTTTTCAAGTGTTTGACTTTTTCTTTCAGTTGTTTAACGGAAAATTGTTACACATGTAGTACACAATTACAATTCCATAACATTTATCAATAACGTATGTAATTGAATTAAATTTAAAAACTGTAAAAAAATAGAATTGAAGCAATTGTTTACTTTGACACATATACTTCTACATTTTAGCATAAAACATACCTTTTCAAGTTCTTCACTTTATCTTTCAGTTGCTGCACTGAAAATTCGTCCTCCATCCAAATGTACAAGTGCTCACCAGCCATTTTTAAGTTTCGCATTACAAAATCGGCTGACGACCAGGTTGGATTGCAATTGTTATTGTACTTTATAATGTATTTTGATTGTTCATCTGTGAAATGTCCTGAAATAAAAGTAAAATGGGAATCAAGATCATGTATGATAGCAACTGTACGCAAATCAAATTAATATATACAAAAATCACTTCCGCGACATAAAGTACCTGCGTTTTATTTTCAGCCTAGTTGTGTGTATTCGTATTGACATTTGATCGAGCCATGCTGATTATAAGGTGCACAATTTCCTCTGCTTTCAAAATTAATCTATTTAAATACGTCCTGATTTTCTTACTATAACTGGAAACTATTTGTAGATATATTTGTTTGGTCAATGAGTACATGTAGTAGTTTCAACTCCTATCTAAAATGAAGTAAAGGTTATGACCCGTGTATATTTTTTTTCATTCGTCTTTATTACGTCATGCCCGCTATCAAATTGAAACTTGTTATTTTAGTAGTATAGATGGATGTGGCATATGTTTTTTATTGGTATGTAACATACAAACCTTTAGGTTTAAAGTTTGACTTCAATGAACTGGTTTGAGATGGTGTTCTTCTTGGGGTAAACCATTTCTCGCCTTTAACAATCATAGTGTCTGACAAAAAATAATGATGATTCATTTACTGATTTTTTCTTATCTTATATTGCACTCACGTAAAAATCCGCTAACAATTGTGATCCTCGTGCGACATTTCCATTCATATTGGATCGTGTTTACAAACTTATTTGTTTCATTGTTCATTTTTGGTCGTATTTTAAAAAACTTTAAGGAACAAATAAATAACGGCTAGTTATATCAAGACCAACAATCCTGTACAGTTTTTCTTTTTTTCTGTCTTGAGATGGTTCTGTATGGCAATTCCAAGGCATTTTTTAACAGTACAATTGTTTTTAAATGTCTTAAATTAAACATGTTTTTTGCCACGATTCCTTCAACAAAATCATGTGTTATATGTTTAATCGAAGGTTTTGTAATTCTAAAGTCATCATTACCTTAATTTCCCTTTAGTAAACTTGAAAGTCTTTAGTAATAGTAACTATAAGTAGTTAACAGGGAAAATATAAGATTACAAACCTTCCTTTACAGATTTTTTCTTTTCTGTTTTACGAAGGCTGTGTTTGGTCTGCGGAACTAAAAAAAAATAATTTTGTTAATAATTTCATTTTTAAAATCATCATAAGATATTGACAGAATGAATAAATGAGTTGCTTACAGAATTTGTACAAAATGCTCTTGTTTGTTTTACTTACCAATTGGTTTGGATGTGTTGGACTGTTCCTTTTCTTGAAATTTCTGTAATTTGTGTGACTCTGTAAAGAAAATTTGGAAATTAGTTATCGGAAATCGTCATTTGCAAATGCAATGATCAATTATCAGTTTTACCCAATTTATTGCAGAAATAGTAATTTAGAATGTCTTAAATCAATAAATCATGAAAATGTTAAGCTGTACCATTTATCCACACGATTGCACTTTATCATGTGATTATGCACATTTCGGTTTTCTTAACTTTTACATTCTGACCATATAATCGTATATATATTGTTTGAAAATTTATAAGCTTTTAAAATTATACGTACTTTGCAGTTCTTCAAACACCTGTGTCAAGCTTTTTCCTGAAAAAAACCCAACAGAAAATGTTTTTTTTTTTTTTCTATATTGCTATCTACCCATCACATACAATTCAAAACGCAATGCATGCACGTAAACAGTAGATTAAAAATATATCCTTACTTTTTGGCTTCCCTTGGGCTGGGAGTATTGGCTCTGGTGGACTGTTCTGTTTTGGAGAAAAGGTATGCTTTGAAGAAGGTGTCACATTTATTGGTTCCACACACAGCATTTCAATCACTGTTGAAAGTAAAGTAGAATAGTTCAATAAAATATATATCTTGAAGGTAAAGGTGAAAAGTATAATAAGGAATTACATTTGATATACACACCTTTCTCCCGAACCTGTTCTTCAAAACATACTGTGTCTGAAAAAAGAACGAATGTTGACCAACTAATGAATTCGATTCGCTCGTGTATGTAACAACGTATTTGATTTTAACGAAACAAATCTATGTATAACTGAAAATTTATTACACCAGGGTTTTCGATATCACAAACTAGTCAAAACATTTACTCAATTTCATCATCGGTAATAGCCACATTTATTCTCAAAACAGTTGTTAGCATGTTACAGGTTGTGTTTTTCACATATGTTTAAGAATGGTATTCTACTAAACCCCTAAAAGGGGGGGATTGTACTTGATTGTCATATGTTGAAGACATAACCCTAACTCAAACCCTAACCCTCACCCTAATTTTTCAGTCATTTAACTTGAGATCTGAAGCTGGCGTATCAGTAACTGCTAGTATTCCTTTGTTAATTAGTGTATTATTTTGCTTAGTTTCTTCTTTTACCTATTCTGACATCCGACTCGAAATTCTTTTTAACTGAGTTTTTACTGTGCGTATTGCTATTTTCATTGGCTAGAGGTTGAGGAGGAGGGTTGAGATCTTACAAAACACGTTGACCCCGCCGCATATTTGCGCCTGTCCCAAGTTAGGAGTCTACGTTTTTTGCTAGTCTTGAATTTTTTTTTTTTAATTTGTTCATCTATATGTTTCGGAGTTTAATGTGACGCCCTTTTTCACTGAACTAGGACACATTTTTGTTTAATGGGCAAGCTTGCTTCCCAGTGCTGTATTTTCTCACTTTGGGGAAGTCCCATAGGTGGCCTTGGGCTGCTTTCTGCTCTTTGGTCGGGTTGTTGACTCTTTGACGTATACGCCGTTTCCATTCTAAATTTACTTGGAAATAACGATAGAGTTTAGCAATGAAAGGTAGATATATAAAATACTATCTATTTTACCTGATCCATCTGTCTGTTTCTGTTCTTTTTCTATTTCTACATCATCGGTATCAATCTTATCATCCTTAGCTTCCTCATCATGAACATCCCTATGATCACTGCTATCTTCGTCATCATCATCATCCTCACTGAGTTCGTGTTTAGTGTTTCCTTGGTAATGCATGTATTGACTATCTTCATCCTCATCTGATGTTGTGTCAGCCCTCTGTGTGCTGTCTTTTTGCCTGCTGCTCTCACCTTTAGTATTTGCTGTTTAAAAACATCAGCAATATTATCAAACACGAAAACAGCTTCGATATCAACAACATAAGCAATTAACAAATTATATTATTAATTTCTATAATAACAGTGAACTTCTGAGCAATAGCCTGTTGAGTTGTAGATTCTCTATACAACTTTATATCGACATTTTTATCACAGGTCTATTTCTCAGCGAAACGTTAAGAAAGTAATACAGTATATAGACAACATAAGGGCCTTGGATGGCATTATTTCTAATTAACTCCATTGTCCAATATTTGTAATATATAAAGTTGATTTCTTTGATTCGTCTTTTTTATGTCATGTCCGCTATCAAATTGAAACTTGTTATTTTAGTAGTATAGATGGATGTGGCATATGTTTTTTTTTCTTATGTAACATACATACCTTTAGGTTTAAGCTTTGACTTCGATGAACTGGGTTGAGATGGTGTTCTTCTTGGGGTAAACCATTTCTCGCCTTTAACAATCATAGTGTCTGACAAAAAATAATGATGATTTATTTACCTATTTTTTCTTACCATATATTGCACTCACGTAAAAATCCGCGAACGATTGTGATCCTTGTGCGACATTTCCATTCATATTGGATCGTGTTTACAAACTTATTTGTTTCATTGTTCATTTTTGGTCGTATTTTAAAAAAAACTCTAAGGAACAAATAAATAACGGCTAGTTATATCAAGACCAACACTCCTGTACAGTTTTTCTTTTTTTTCTGTCTTGAGATGGTTCTGTATGGCAATTCCAAGGCATTTTGTAACAGTACAATTGTTTTTAAATGTCTTAAATTAAACATGTTTTGCCACGATTCCTTCAACAAAATCATGTGTTATATGTTTTATCAAATGTTTTGTAATTCTAAAGTCATCATTACCTTAATTTCTCTTTAGTAAGCTTGAAAATCTGTAGTAATAGTAAGTATAAGTAGTTAATGGGGAAAATATGAGATTACAAACCTTCCTTTACAGATTTTTTTTTCTATATGTTTCGGAGTTTAATGTGACGCCCTTTTTCACTGAACTAGGACACATTTTTGTTTAATGGGACAGCTTGCCTCCTAGTGCTGTATTTTCTCGCATTGGGGAAGTCCACTAGTTGGCCTTGGGCTGTTACTGCTCTTTGGTCGGGTTGTTGACTCATTGACGCATACGCCGTTTCCATTCTCAATTTGCTTAGAAATAACGATAGAGTTTAGCAATGAAAGGTAGATAAATATAATACTATCTATTTTACCTGATCCATCTGTCTGTTTCTGTTCTTTTTCTATTTCTACATCATCGTTATCAATCCTATCATCCTTAGCTTCATCATCATGAACATCCCTATGATCACTGCTATCTTCGTCATCATCATCATCCTCACTGTGTTCGTGTTTAGTGTTTCCTTGGTAATGCATATATTGACTATCTTCATCCTCATCTGATGTTGTGTCAGCCCTCTGTGTGCTGTCTTTTTGCCCGCTGCTCTCACTTTTAGTATTTGCTGTTTAAAAACATAAGCAATATTATCAAACACAAAAACAGCTTTGATATCAACAACATAAGCAATTAACAAATTATATTATATTGTTAATTTCTAACAACAGTGAACTTCTGAGCAATAGCCTGTTGAGTTGTGGATTCTCTATACAACTTGATATCGACATTTTTATCACAGATCTATTTCCCAACAAAACGGTAAGAAATGAATACAGTTGTGACTGTGTTTAGCGATACAAAAAGACAAACATTTACCGTCTATAAGATCTGTAATCATTGCTCTCAATTCCATGTTCCCTTTCGTTACTTCTGCTTTCAATTCCATGTTCCCTTTCGTTACTTCTGCTTTCAATTTATCCGCCTTAAAGCTGTTAAACAATGCTTTCAGTTCTATGTTCCCATTTCTTATTTCCGCCTTTAATTCATCTGTCTGAAAGTAATAAAACTGTGTTTTATTTTGTTATTTCATCTTATTTTGATTTGAATGATATGTATATTGTACAAATGGTAATGTGCATTTCATAATTAAAATACAAAACTGGAAATAAAGTTGCATACCTACATTAAAAGATTAAAAAGTAAAATCACAAAAATACTGAACTCCGAGGAAAATTCAAAAAGGAAAGTCCCCAATCAAATTAATTTGTTTTTTAAGAAAAACTTTCAGCAGAACGGACAGACCCAAGTGTCAAGCAATACAGATTATAATTTAGTACAGAAAGTAGCCGAAGTGAACACATTACTGAATTAAATTTCTGTCCAATCATTATAGGTCAAATATTTCTAAAAAACACGCTAAGATCGATTATTTTGTTATATAATCAGTACCTATTTTTTTTATTTCTCCTTTCAGTTTATCTGCCTTTAAATGATCCAACTGTCTTATATTTTGTCATTTTATCTTATATTCTATTACCATGATTAAATTATAGTTTGCATTTGCGTCCACAATATCAAATGAGTACATACTACTGAATAACTCTTATCATTTTTACAGATTTATTCTCTCCTTCGACTTACCATTTGAGTCATTTGTATTTTCATCCAGTTATCCATTTCTGGAAAAAAAAACAAGGAATATAAGTGTAAAAAATAATGTCATAGATACGGTTATTTGAACATGAAGTATTTAATACATGTCATAGTTAAAATTCAACTGTAAAATTGGATTTGTAGTCCTGCTAATTATTGATAAAGAAAACATATGTATACAAGTCTACTAAATCTGATAGGCGGACAAACAGACAGGTATGATATTTGCAAATCATCTAATTTTGCTAGAGGTTTTGCTAATTGAAAGCTCCAAATCGTTTTGGCGAGAGAAAACAATAAGAGTCCAAATTCTGATTTTCTTAAGATCTTCTGCATATGCATTGTTACAGTGCATTTAGTAAATCACATGCGTTGAAAATGTCTTTAAGAAAGAAGGCAATGAATATTTGATGTTTGCATAGTCAACAACTATTTTTATAAAAAAAGAATACATTCCGCTTTTTCAATATAGGGTACAAAAATGTCTACATCACAATGAACACTTCTTTTATAGCATTTTGTTTTGTGTTTCCCAAAAGAAATAAAGCATTAATTCAAACATTCATTGTTTAAGTGTTCAATGACAACAATGGTAGTCATACAAGTAGTAAAACAGTAGTAGATCATTTTATTTTATACCACTAATTTTTAAGTATAAAGTACGCGTAAAGAAAACAAATACCGACCGTACGAGGGCTTGACAGCCAGTCAGTGTCGTACACTCATCTTCAACTGACAGTTGAAGCGATAATATTTACATAAGAAGGAATGTGTAGCAACAAGAGAAAGAAGGAACAATTTGTAATCAGATTCTTCATTTCTTAATTGTTCAATAAAATGGTAGTCATACGAGGAGTAAATATTAACTAACCTGATATTGTATAAGACTTCGTGCCGATTGTATATCTCCTTCGTGCTATAGTTTTAAACGATGGACCTTCCTCCTTCCATTTATGACGTTTTACATTATTTTTTTAAGAATATATAAATGAATTTCGACGAAATATACCATAAAGTATCACAGTACAGTTAATATTAGGTATATATTTTGCATATACTAGTATTTTCTTGTTTAAAATCGTTATGGAACCGCTGTAAATTTCTTTTATAGCAGAACGTTGGTGTTTTACAAAAAAAAAAAGAAAAAAAAAAGACATGTATTTAGATTCTTCATTTCTTAGATGTTCAATAAAATGGTAGTCACACGAGTAGTAAATATTAACTAACCTGATATTGTATAAGACTTCGTGCCGATTGTATATCCCTCTTCGTGCTATAGTTTTAAATGATAGACCTTCCTCCTTCCATTGATGACGTTTTACATTCTTCCTCCTTCCTTTTCTGACGTAAAGGGAAGGAAGAAGGAAGATGTCAAAGGTCAAAAGGAAGGAGGATGGTGTTTGGTAACAAGAGGAAGGATGAGGAAGAATCAAGGCATGCGGTAACAAGCGGAAGCTAAAATACACCTTCCTCCTTCCTTTTTCTTTTAAAACACACCTTCCTCCTTCCTTTTCCTATAACACACCTTCATCCTTCCTTTTTCTTTTAAAACACACCTTCCTCCTTCCTTTTTCCTTCTTCGTCTTGTTACCACATACCTTCCTCCTTCCTCTTATCACAACACATATTCCTCCTTCCGCTTCTCGCCGCAGACCTTCCGCCTTCCTCTTGGTGCGACACACCTTCATCCTTACTCTTGATAGAATACATTCCTCCTTCCTTCCTTCCCTTTACGTCAGAAAGGAAGGAGGAAGAATGTCAAACGTCATAAATGGAAGGAGGAAGGTCGATCATTTAAAACGATAGAAAGAAGGAGGAAGATCAATCGGTACGAAGTCTTATTGATATCAGGTCAGTAAATTTTTACTACTCTTATGACTACCATTGTTTTCATTGAACTCTTTAATAATAGATTATTTGAATTAATGTTTTATTACCTTTAAAAAATGCCTCACGACAAAACTGTTTTAAATTTGAAAATTTTACATATTTTACATAAAGCATTTTTTTGATCTGATATGCATCAACTTCCTGTTAGCCGATATTTTAAAATTCAACCACTGTATCCACAAGGAAAATTTTACATAAATATTTTCTTGGTTCCCTTGAAAACGAATGATTTTATATTTGGTTTGGTGTTTGGTGATTTTGAGTTGTAGGTCATGAAAGGAAATTCTTTGTCAATATTTTATTGACTTCTTTGTAAGGACATTGTTTACGAATTGCTTTAGAACAAATTATGCAGTGATGCACGTCCATACCCTGTTTTGGTATTGTTGTCACATGTTCTCAAAAATAAATACACTACCAGGAATTTACATAGCGTTTACATGTACTTTTAATGCCACTAAATATACAGTACTGGTAAAACATATCATCAATCAGTACATGTATTACCTATAGCTTTTCAGTACAAATAATTATGTGCATGTTTTCAGTAATGCTATAGTTTTAAACGATGGACCTTCCTCCTTCCATTTATGACGTTTTACATTATTTTTTTAAGAATATATAAATGAATTTCGACGAAATATACCATAAAGTATCACAGTACAGTTAATATTAGGTATATATTTTGCATATACTAGTATTTTCTTGTTTAAAATCGTTATGGAACCGCTGTAAATTTCTTTTATAGCAGAACGTTGGTGTTTTACAAAAAAAAAAAGAAAAAAAAAAGACATGTATTTAGATTCTTCATTTCTTAGATGTTCAATAAAATGGTAGTCACACGAATAGTAAATATTAACTAACCTGATATTGTATAAGACTTCGTGCCGATTGTATATCCCTCTTCGTGCTATAGTTTTAAACGATAGACCTTCCTCCTTCCATTGATGACGTTTTACATTCTTCCTCCTTCCTTTTCTGACGTAAAGGGAAGGAAGAAGGAAGATGTCAAAGGTCAAAAGGAAGGAGAATGGTGTTTGGTAACAAGAGGAAGGATGAGGAAGAATCAAGGCATGCGGTAACAAGCGGAAGCTAAAATACACCTTCCTCCTTCCTTTTTCTTTTAAAACACACCTTCCTCCTTCCTTTTCCTATAACACACCTTCATCCTTCCTTTTTCTTTTAAAACACACCTTCCTCCTTCCTTTTTCCTTCTTCGTCTTGTTACCACATACCTTCCTCCTTCCTCTTATCACAACACATATTCCTCCTTCCGCTTCTCGCCGCAGACCTTCCGCCTTCCTCTTGGTGCGACACACCTTCATCCTTACTCTTGATAGAATACATTCCTCCTTCCTTCCTTCCCTTTACGTCAAAAAGGAAGGAGGAAGAATGTCAAACGTCATAAATGGAAGGAGGAAGGTCGATCATTTAAAACGATAGAAAGAAGGAGGAAGATCAATCGGTACGAAGTCTTATTGATATCAGGTCAGTAAATTTTTACTACTCTTATGACTACCATTGTTTTCATTGAACTCTTTAATAATAGATTATTTGAATTAATGTTTTATTACCTTTAAAAAATGCCTCACGACAAAACTGTTTTAAATTTGAAAATTTTACATATTTTACATGAAGCATTTTTTTGATCTGATATGCATCAACTTCCTGTTAGCCGATATTTTAAAATTCAACCACTGTATCCACAAGGAAAATTTTACATAAATATTTTCTTGGTTCCCTTGAAAACGAATGATTTTATATTTGGTTTGGTGTTTGGTGATTTTGAGTTGTAGGTCATGAAAGGAAATTCTTTGTCAATATTTTATTGACTTCTTTGTAAGGACATTGTTTACGAATTGCTTTAGAACAAATTATGCAGTGATGCACGTCCATACCCTGTTTTGGTATTGTTGTCACATGTTCTCAAAAATAAATACACTACCAGGAATTTACATAGCGTTTACATGTACTTTTAATGCCACTTAATATACAGTACTGGTAAAACATATCATCAATCAGTACATGTATTACCTATAGCTTTTCAGTACAAATAATTATGTGCATATTTTCAGTAATGTTTGGAAAAAGTTGTTTTTCATTACTGAAAATTTCAGTCATTTTGCTATACTGAAAATTTCAGTCATTTCTAAATATTAGAAATTTCACTCATTTATCAATACTGAAATTGTTAGTCATTTTTCATTATTGAAAATTTCTCTCATGTTCAGTACTAACGTTTTTTATCATTTTTCAGTACTAAAATTGTTTTGTCATTTTTCAGTACTTCCATAAATTACTATCAAGAATAAGTCCAAAGTATGTAAAAAAGTGTAAAACACTTTATCGTGACGCTATCCGTAAATCTTGCGTCCGGAGGTGTAGATTATGATGACGAGAAGGACGCTGACAGAAGTTTGACAACTATAATTTTTGTTTTTGATTTTGACAAACATATTCCAGGACATATGAATCAATGAAATTAAACAGGCAAAGCACACAAATGTCATACAAGTGATAGGTTTAGCTAGCTATAAAACCAGGTTCAATCCACCATTTTCTACATAAGAAAATGCCTGTACCAAGTCAGGAATATGACAGTTGTTATCCATTCGTTTGATGTGTTTGTTTTTTTGATTTTGCCATTTGATTGGGGACTTTCCTTTTTGAATTTTCCTCGGAGTTCAGTATTTTTGTGATTTTACTTTTTATTTGTATATAACTTGATTTGACACACTTTGTATGTTAGACGCACAACATGTCAGTCTTGATTTGTTTTCCTTGTTTTAGCGATCAAATATCCTTTCAGTTGAAAACAAAAATACAGAGAAAGCCTACCGACATATATTTCCTCCTCCCGTTTAAAATAAACTTGCGTAGCTATCGTTTCTCAAATATTTTAGTGGAGCACATTCAAATGACTAATTCCAAGATAAAGTAAAGCCTTCAAAATAACGATTTTAACGAAATTGAATTTGGGTAAGGGTTAAGGTATGGGTGTTAAATATATGATTTTCTACTATCACGAATTAAGAAAATCATGATGCCTGTCTGTTTGACAGTGTTACATTTTAACTTTGATTTCTTCCATTCTTTGTGTGCATAATTTATTGAACTTTGTGACAATGAGGGTCTA